TAAATAAAGCGTTAGTTTGGCCAAGCAGCAAGAGTATAGCACTCTTTTTCTTTTTCTTTTCTTTTCTTTTTTTTTTTTTGAGACAGAGTCTCACTCTGTCACCCAGGCTGGAGTGCAGTGGTACAATCTCTGCTTACTGTAACCTCCGCCTCCCGGGTTCAAGCAATTCCCCTAGGATTACAGGTGTACGCCAACACACCTGACTAATTTTTTTTATTTTTAGTGGGGTTTCACCACATTGATCAGGCTGGTCTCGAACTTCTGACCTTGTGATCCGCCCACCTTGGCCTCCCAAAGTACTGGGATTGCAGGCTTGAGCCACCGTGCTCAGCCTGAGTATATCACATATTGGCTGAACAAGTGGGTTTCTGCCTTCTCTATGTATAGGGGTGTCAAAAAATATGTAGTTCACTGTTAGGATTCTGCCCCAGGGAGATTCTGAGTCTATTGACTTAAGCCTAAGTGTCTTGTTTTTTGTTTTTTGGTTTTTTTTGAGATGGAGTCTAGCTCTGTTGCCCAAGCTGGAGTGCATTGGTGTGATCTCAGCTCACTGTAACCTCTGCTTCTGAGGGTCAAGTGATTCTCCTACCCCAGCCTCACAAGTAGCTGGGATTACAGGCATGTGCCACAGTGCCTGGTTAATTTTTTTTTTTTTTTTTTTCTGTATTTTTAGTAGAGACGGGGTTTCACCATGTTGGCCAGGCTGCTTTTGAACCCCTGACCTCAAGTGATCCACCCACCTTGGCCTCCCAAAGTGTTGTGAGCCACCATGCTTGGCCCTAAGTGTCTTTTAAAAGCTCTTCAGGTTATTCTAATAGGCAGCCAGGGTTCAGAATACTTCGGCTAGGTGCTCCCTTACAGAAAGATCCAGAACTTATTTTAGAAAGATCCATAAAATAGATTTGTTGTTTGGAGGTCTCCAACTACAAAACTAGAGCTATTGGATTGATTGTCCCTTATGTAAATCAGTCTTCTGTCATTAACAATCACCCAGCAACTATGTGAATACAACAGACCCAATCTCCTCGTCTGTAAAATAAAGTCCTCACTTATATGGTTTTCAAGGTCCCTCCCAGCTCTAGCTTTTTATTATACTATGATTCCTAATTGCTCCAGTTCCTGAAGAGGATTTCAGCTGGAGGAAATAAGTAGGAATTTGAAAGAAAGAGGCTACAATCATCATCATCACCATAAACAATACTTGATAGAGTCAGATCTTAAATCTGGGTTCCTCAAGGGGCTGTTTATGAGGCATGGTCAAGAACACAGACTACTTGAACTGGACATCCATGTTTTGGTTAAAAAAATAAATAAAAAAGAACAGAGGCTACTTTGGGGGGCTGAGGTGGGTGGGTCACGAGGTCAAGAAATCGAAACCATCCTCCTGGTCAACATGGTGAAACCCCGTCTCTATCAAAAATACAAAAATTAGCTGAGCATGGTGATGTACACCTGTAGTCCCAGATACTCAGGAGGCTGAGGCAGGAGAATCGTTTGAACCTGGGAGGAGGAGGTTTCAGTGAGCTGAGATGGCGCCACTGCACTCCAGCCTGGGCAACACAGCGAGATTCTGTCTCAAAAAAAAAAAAAAAGAACATAGACTTAATGATGCTCAGCTCAGCTGCTTATGACCTTGGACATATTACCTAACTTCTCCACCTCAGTTTCTTCATCTGTAAAGTGGAATCAGTAACAGCATCTATGTCATAGAATAGAATTTTTGAGAAGGTTAATTGAGTTTATATAAAATACTTTATGTTGCCCAGTCTGGTCTTGAACTACCTGAACATGCAGGAGAATAGTTGTTTATAGGCACATCATTTAAATTCTCTTTTGCCACATCTATTATGGTCCTGGCTTGTTTCTAAATAACCACAGAAAATAGGTAGTTTGGAAGAGTAATCTATTTAAATCTTGCTTGGAAGAGTAATCTACTTCAAGCACATCAAAATAAATACTTTTTGGCCAGGCGTGGTGGCTCAAGCCTGTAATCCCAACACTTTGGGAGTCTGAGGCGGATGGCTCATGAGGTTAGAAGATCGAGACCATCCTGAACAACATGGTGAAACCCCACCTGTACTAAAAAAAATACAAAAATTAGTGGGGGGTGGTGGCATGTGCCTGTAATCCCAGCTACTGGGGGGTTGAGGCAGGAGAATCGCTTGAACCAGGGAGTCAGAGGTTGGAGTGAGCCAAGATAGCACCATTGCACTCCAGTCTAGTGACAGAGAGACACTTCACTCAAAATAGATAAATAAATAAATACTATTTTATTTATGTGGGAGAAAAAACAGGAGAAAATGATTTGACTTATTTGAATATTTATTGTCTTACCTAATGGTAAAATTCTCTCCAATGGTTTTCCTATTGCATTACAAACACGAGTGGCTATACAAGCGTTTGATTTGTTCTTAGGTGTTAAATGAGGAGGGAGAGTGTCGGAAGCCTCAGGTGGAGATCAGAACACTTGGTTTCCAATCTTACCTCTACCTTGGCCATACCACCAGCTCTCAAAGCCTCAACCTCTTTGTCCAATGTCAAGCATGAATAAGTTGTCTAAAGGCCCTATCCACAGTGAATTCTGTTTAGGAGTGACTATTGCCCAATTTATTTTGTTTCTATTGTTTGAAGTGGAGTCTCACTGTCACCCAGGCTAGACTGTGGTGATGTGATCTTGGCTCACTGCAGCCTAGACATCCTGGACTCAAAGGATACTCCCACTCAACCTCCCAAGTAGCTGGGACTATTGGTGTGTACCACCATACCCAGATAATTTTTGTGTTTTTTTATAGAGACAGGGTCCCTATGTTGCCTAGACTGGTCTTGAACTCCTGGGTGCAAACAATCCTCCCTCCGCAGCCTCACAAAGTCCTGGGATTATAGGTGTGGGCTACAGCACTTGGCCAACTTTTGGTTAGTGTGTTGATCTTTTCAAAGAACCAGCTTTTGGTTTCACGGATTTTTTTCTCTATTGTTTTTCTAGTCTCCATTTTATTAATTTCTGCTGTAACCTCTGTCATTTTCTTCTTTTTGCTTTAGAAAGAAGTAGATTTAGTTTGTTGTTTTTCTGTTTCTTAAGGTGAAATGTTAGGTTACTGATTTGAAATTTCTGTCCTGGCCGGGCGCGGTGGCTCAAGCCTGTAATCCCAGCACTTTGGGAGGCCGAGGCGGGTGGATCACGAGGTCAAGAGATCGAGACCATCCTGGTCAACAAGGTGAAACCCCGTCTCTACTAA